TTTAATTCCACTTCCATTTATCAAGTTTCACCTAATAACACATTATATAATAAATTAGACTATAATTCCATTAAAAGAATTATGAAATGTCAATATTTTAGAGCACAAAAAGTATATAAAATACACTTATCAAACACCCTAAAATTTAAATATTTATTTGTCCTCAAACAAAACCATAACCTAACTTAACAACACACAAACATGCAAAAGGTTTTTGGTTAGATAACTTGCCATTTTGTCTCATGATTGAAATCATTGTATTAAATATATAAACAGCTTCAAGGTCGTATTACCAAAATCGATTTCTACTTTTCCAATGCAAAACTGATATGTGTGTGAATAATTAAATAAAACAGTATAAATTCATGAGTTGTTTCGATTCCTGACCCTCGATGGTCAAATTCTTACTTTCATCACTCGTAAGATTCACATACCCCTAAACTTATTATTTTTTTCCTCTTTTCCAGTGTAAGATCTAAGGCTGAATCTTTATACCAGTGTTCTAAAATGCTCGAAAATGTGCCGCCTAGGGGCTGTTCGCATTGAAAACGCGTCGCATTTGTGATATGCGCGTAAAAATGCGGTCAACATTTTTTGTTGACCGCCTAGGCATATCAATGTGCGATTAGGCGCCTTCATGCTCGATTAGGCACGTTCATGCGCGCATTAGGCTCGCATTAGGAAACCCACCAGTCCAATTGCAAACTTGAAGACCCGGCCCAACCAGAAAACCCAAATTAAAGACCCACCAGTTCAATTTTTGCCTTTTTCATTCCCAAGTCAGAACTCAGAAGTGTAGAACTCCTCCAGTCCTCCTCCGTTCTCTGCTTCACCTTCACGGCTTCACCACTCACCAGAATCCATGGCTGCCCAACCAAGTACTTGTGAAATGTGACAGTGATACTCGCCTTCACCACACTGATATTATTTGCCATTTGTGGTCTTCTTCAGCCGGTTCAAAACTCGAAAAGGTTGGGTTTTCAATTTTGGTATAAACCCTTTCACCATTTCGATTTTTGGTATAAACCTTTTCTTTCACTGTGTTGCAGATTTTGGTATAAACCCTTTCTATTCTCCGCATCTTTAAAATTTCTTGCTTCTGTTGAAGTACACAGCGTATATGTTTCACTGTAAGTCTGTATAAACAGAGCAATAACAACAACAATCCTTGTAAAATTGGATTGCATTTGAAGTAGAAAGATAGATGAAGGAAAATGCAAAAGATAGATGAGTTAGATGATGAAGAAGAAGAGATCGAGTTAGAATCCGATAAAGAGTTAGACAAAAGTCACGCTATGTGACTTAATGTAGAAGTGTTCTANAAATTTTGATTACTTCAACCTCCATGACTCAACTAGGTTAATAATCCCTTGTCAAAGATCGAACTTTCTCAAATAAGTGTTTAGAACTTAATCAAGACACATAGTATGCAAATACATAATTTTTGTTCATCTTATGTGCAAACTTCTCTCCATTAAACTTTCTAAATGACCTTTGTAGCGAGTTTTAAATCGATAACTCCCAAATCAAATGAATATAGGGCACTAAGTTTTTAGATGCCCTTACAGGCTTAATCACTCGAATCATAAAAAGATACGAACATACGCTTCACAATGAAATAGTTTTTTCTCTTTTTTTTTTGCTATGATTAGTGCAATGCCACTCATTAAACACTCATTCTAAAAAATCGACCCATAACTTAAGAATTTCACGTAATTTTCATCATATTTGCATTAGACAATTCACATAAGAATGTACACACATGGAATTCCCATTCATATCTGTATCTCCCTACAATAGTAAAATCATCCCCCAAACTAATTTAAATTTGGTCGAAAGATATACATTGTAGTAATTTTTGGGTTTTAACATCTAAGTTCTACCATTTCAACCTATTAAGCATATGAATCAACCCATTACTTTATACTGCTAAACTTAACTCATGTGTGCAAATAATATCAAGTTTTACATGGATAATAATCAATTAATCTAAGTATGTAACATATCCATAGTTCATAAATTAACACATAATTCCATATATATTTACTGACAAGGCTGCCTAACCCACACAAGCATGATAAAAATAATTTTTTTTCAATGCACAAAACACACTAAATAAAAATCATATCACACAAGCACGCACATACTAAACAAGAAATTCTTTTTTGTTTTTTTTTTTTTTTAAATTTGAAAATTTTATTTTTTTTATATATAATAAAGAAGTAGAAACATACTACATATTACATTTTTAGCCCCCACTTGTTTTTGAATTTTCTTTGATTTTTCTACTAAAAACACATTATACCTTAACATTCTCCTCAATTTATTTTTCTTCAACTTCAATTGCTTTTCTTAATTGTTGGAATCTTGACGTTGGAAGTGCCTTTATGAATATATCAGCAATTTGTTCTTTAAGTTCAACTTCTCCTTTTTCAATTGTATCTAGAATGAAGTGGTACTTGATTGCAATGTTTGTTTGGCTATGAAAAGCTAGATTCTCTAACATAGCAATTGCTGATTTGTTGTCACAAAATATTGGTGTGGCTTCTCCTTGCTTTTCTCCAATAACTTCTAAAATTCTTCTTAGCTAAATGACTTGGGATGTTACAATTGAGGCTGACATATATTCAGCTTTAGCTGAGGATAGAGCAATTGTTTTTAGCTTCTTGGATAGCCATGAAAATACTCACGAACCAAGAGAAAATGTATAATTGGAGGTACTCTTCATGTCATTAACACAACCTCCCCAATTACTTTCACAAAAGCATCTTAACTTCACTTCCAACTTCTTCTCAAACCTGATCCCATAATTTATTGTTCCCATTATGAATCTTAAAATTCTTTTTCCAACACCAAAATGCTTATGGCTTGGACTATTCATGAATCTTGAAAGTAAGTTTGCGACATACATAACATCCGTTCTTGTAACGATAAAATAAAGCAAGTTTCCAATCAAACTTCCATAAAGAGTTTCATCTACTTTTTTTTCTCCATCATCCGTCATCAATTTTTCATTACAAACAAGTGGATTTTCAACACTTTAACATCCAAATATTCTACATTTTTTAAACACTTTTTCAGAATACTTCATTTGAGAAATGTACACTCCATTTTCATCTTGATATATTTCCATACCAAAGAAATGATGTAGCCGCCCCAAATCACTCACTTCATATATTTTCATCATGTCAATTTTAAATTCTTCAATCATTTTTTGCAATATTTCTGGTAAACACTAAATTATCAACATATAATGCAACAATAAGTATATCGGTGTTACCTTTATTTTTCAAGTACAAGGTTGGCTTTCTTTTGTTTTTGAGAAATTCATGTTGCTGAAATTAGCCATCAATTTGACTATACCATGCTCTCGTTGCTTGTTTGAGCCCGTACAAAGCCATTTTTTGCATATATATTTTGTCTTCTTCTCCTTTTGCAACAAAACCTTAGGTTGTTCAACATACACCTCTTATTTTAGTTCTCCATTTAGAAAGGCTGATTTAACATCAAGTTGGTACAATGACCAACATTTTTGGGTTGTAAGAGCTATGAATGCTCTTATGGTGTCTAGGGGAGCAACCGGTGTAAAATTTTCATCATAACCGATCCAAGGTTGTAATGCATACCCTTTCACATCTAATCTTGCTTTATGTCTCTTGAATGTCCATCTGAATTATGCTTCACCTAGTAGACCCATTATACACCTATCTTCTTTTTGGCCTTTCAACTATCTCCCAAGTTTTGTTTTAATCAGTAACTTGTATCTCTTCTTCCGTTACTTTTTTTCAACACTCCTCCTTCATGGCTTCTTCAAAATTTTTGGGTTCAACCATACAAAAGTTGCATCATGCATAAACATTATTCAAATCTTGTATTTTTCTTGGAGTTGAGCTTAGTGAAGATGAACTAGAACTAGAGGACTTGAGTGACTACTGAATTTTGAGGCAAAGTAATTGGGATTGCAACATTTCTTTCAACTTCTTCGTTCTCCTAATTCCAAGTAGCATTCTCATCAAACAACACATCACGGCTAACAATCACTTTCTTGGTCTTCAACTTGTATAGCTTATAGCCCTTAAATTATGAGCTATATCCAATGAAAATACACTTTTCACTTGCCTCATCTAGCTTGTGTCACTTTTCTTTTGGCACTTGGGAATAACAAATGCTTCCAAACACTTTCAAATGCTTCACTGTTGGTTTTCTCTATTCCAAGCTTCTATTGGTGTTTTGTTACACACAGCCTTTGTTGGACACCTGTTGATCAAATCAAATACTGTACATACTGCTTCAGCAAAAAAACTTTTAGAAGCTTTCCATCATGTATCATAGCATTTGCCATTTAACTCCACTTGGCCGTTTTCCTTCCATTGCATCCATCCTTCTTATCATGGCAGTCAGTACAAAGGCAAGGACCTTGCCAAGGAGTCAAGCTCATAGACCACCGTTACCTAGCCTACAATTAAGTTGAAAAATAAGCTTCAAAGAGACAACAGATGGTAGATGGCGATAACAGACTCAGCTGTTGCAGCACATACACCAGGCAGAAGACTATGGATGATATTGATAAAATTGCACGTAAATGAATCAAGAGAGAGAAGTAATAAAATTGGATAGAAAAATAGTAGGAAAACTCTCCCTTGATATTTATTTGGACCATCTGTTGGGAATTAAGCCCAAATACTAATTATGAGAGCAATAATAAGAAAACTGAAATAAGAAATATAGACTAGCAAACCCAAAAAATTATAGAGTTACGCATTTAATATGAGAACTACGTTTACTCGTTGCTTATTTTTGCTATGTAGGAGAAAAAAGCCCCTAAATCTGTTTCACAATTATATATGTAGCCTTCTCCATCACCACCGTTGCAAGGATGGAAAAAATGTGGTAAAGATGTTGAGGCCAATTCAATTAATTGTCGAGGGAGGTGGACTGGTTCTTCCTTGTGCCGTTCATTGGTTAGAAGGCTCGCAAAACACCAAAGGAGCAACTCGCAGTTAATGACTCCCATTTATTCTAAAGGGTTGCTTGTATCTCTTGCAAAACCATAAAGTAGAAAGAATATCAGATGTTGCACCGCTGATGGAACCATGGAGAGCCTCATTCTGAAAGCCAGAAACCTATAAGGTTTTCCATGGGGGAACTTTATTTACTTTAACTCCAGGGTGGAAGTCATGGTGGCCTGGGAATTCGAATGCTGTCCATAATCGAGATCAATATAAAAGAAATAAACTTTAAGCACATGAAAGCCAAGATTGATCTCCTAGAAGAAAGAGGAGATCAAGCACAACGAATAAATGCCATGCAACACCTTATCTTATTTAAGTACTAGGTAATAACAAACAATGACTAGACAAACTCAAGGTATATGAGTGTCTTTAATTACTCTGGTTTTACACAAATGTGAAATTTAACATTGAGATGAGATTCAACATACAAATTGCTATAGCACCAACAACCAAGATAACTTCTTCTGTACTTGGTCACTAGGAGCCTCCAATCACCACAGGACAGGATCCCAGGAAGTTTTAATGGGTCATAGCTTAACTTCTTGAGCATCAGAGGAAGAGAGTGATGACTCAAAAATTGAAGGATTTACTGCTTCTCTTGGCTGAAAAATGAAGTTGGGTTTTGGTGGGATTTGCAGAGATTCCATGTTCCCTTCTAACATTTCTACAACCCTGCTCATTGATGGTCTAGTTGTAGGATCAGTTTGTATGCACCATAAGCCAACTATTAACAATTTCCTTATCCTCAAATGTTCATTTGCATTCATAATGATGTTCAGATCAAGTTCAGCATTCTGCTCAAGTTTCTTATATATCCAATCAGGAAAATAATTTTCACTTGAATGATCAACTCTGACTTCAATATTTTTCGTCTCTCCAGCCATTTCCAAAATCATCATACCATAGCTATAGACATCTGACTTGTGAGAAACATCTCCAAAGTTTCTACAAAATATTTCTGGAGCTATATACCCTATTGTCCCTCTAGCCCCTGACATTGACACTATACTTGACCTATTGGGGCAAAGTCTCGCCAGGCCAAAATCCGATATTTTAGGGTTGAAGTCTTTATCCAGGAGTATGTTATGAGGCTTTATGTCAAAGTGCAAAATCCGTGTATTACATCCTTGATGCAAGTATTCTATTCCCTGAGCTATGCCAACTGCAATTTGAAACAATTTTTCCAATCCTAACTGACGTTCTGCTATGGAGTTATTGTGGCCTATGAACTTCTCAAGAGATCCATTGGGCACGAACTCGTAAATAAGAGCTCTTTTGGAACCCTCAAAGCAAAATCCCAGGAGAGTAACAATGTTAACATGGGAAGTTCTACTGATACTTGCTACCTCATTGATAAATTCTTCTCCATTACCTTTCATTTCTTTCAAAATCTTTACTGCTACAAGATGGCCATCGGGTAACTTTCCTCTATACACACTAGCAAAGCCCCCTTCCCCTAACTTGTCTCTGAACGAGTTAGTCATTTTCTTAAGATCGGAGTAGTTGTATCTTCTTGGTCCAAGATTCTTATTGTTCTTCAGGAAGAGTTCAATGTTTTTATGGTTTTGCTTTTTTCCCTTCAAATTCAGCATGTACTTCCTCTTCTTGAAAGTGAACAAGATTACTGAGACGAGGACTACCGCTGTAGCTGAAGCACCTGTGATGAAAAAAGATATCTATGTTTATAAATCAAACAAAACAAATGATACTGAAATTTGCAAGAGTTACCTGCAACAAAAACCAGTTTCAATTTACTCCTTCCTGCAGCTGAAGTCAGAACACACGTTAGGTTAAGAGAACTTCATAAAAATAAGATGGGAACTCATTTTTCTCAGTATACTCTCTCCTGCATGTAAATCTTTACGGGGAATGTATGATTCACGAACATGTGACTTCACACAGATGTGAAATAAATGTATTTGGAGTCCAGATTTTCTGTTCAATTGTCTGTTACAGAAAATCACTACAATATAATTCAACAGACTTTGAAGTCTGGAAATGATTTAAGATTCTAATTATAATTGAGATCACTTAACCACTATAGATTACAATCCTAAAAGACAAACTTTAAAGAACCAACGACTTAGTCATGTATATTTATATTTAGTGTTGCAATGCAACACGCTACAATAAAACCCCTATAAAGTAACACAATCGAGACTAGGAAAAATTATTATTTTACAGGAGTTATTTATTTTTTGATAAAATGAATATTTATAATTTTATAAATGTTTTATACTTTTACTAATTATGTAATAAAAAAAATCCATGTATAACTTATAATTAAAAATAATAGTTGTGGTTGTCAAAAGTTTATATGTATGTACATGTATGTACATAGCAAAAACTATGCAAATATTTTTTTTTTAGTATCGTGAGACTCAATTAAATGAAGATATTGCTTATAAACCACAAGTTGGTGTATATGAAGGCGTCCAAAAATTACGTGAAATCATTTGTTAGTCTATGCTATAGAATGTGATAGATATCGAAAATCTTTTGAATTATCCTAATAAAAATAATACGATGATGGGCATCGCCTATTGATGAGAAGATTATTAAAGGGATATTGAATTACTGTGATCCTAATGATAACTGTGGTTTATAAATCATTTATCAGAAGTGAACTTTCAAATCGTCGTAATTTCAAATAATTACACTATATATATACACGATCAAATTAGGGATAAGGTTGAGTTTCATTTGAACACAAGAAAAAGCAATTAAGAGCCTGTTTGAGTCCCCATTTTTTGTCCAAAATGCATTTTGGAATAGTGTGTTGATTTTAAACGTGTGGTTAAAAAATAAGATTTTTTTTTAATTAACGTGTAATATTATTTTATTGAAAAATGTGTGGTTAAAAATAAGATAAAGAAAAATGTATTTTGAAAATAATGGTACCAAACAAAGGCTAAATATAAAATACATATGTTGAGAAATAGCTAAATTGACGAAATAGAAATTATCATCTAAAAATCATCTTATTAAATAATTTTGATTACTATATTTAATAATTAAAAAATCATGTTCAAAAGCCGATGTTACCTTTTACACATCGAAATCCATTATTTTGGTCAGCTGTACACTGTCCTCCCTCTCGATGGCAATCAATACAACCATTCGACAGATTCCATTCTATATTATAATCGATGCCTAACCGGTCGGGCAAATCTGAATCTGATATAGGCTGTGATTTGATTGGCAAGTAAAGAACAGAACAAACATTCGGAATTGGGGGCGGAAGACTTTCATTTGAATTGGCGTAATATATATCGAAGTCATCGCAGCCTTCGTATTTTATATTATAAGTTTCATCTAAATGACGGATCTCGTCGGGGTTCAGATTTTGGGGGCATCTGATCAAAGTGATATTGGGGAAGTACGTAAACGAAATATAGGGAGAGTGTGGAATATAGAAATTGCGGATTGCACTGCAGATGTTACTTGTCAAAAGACTTTCAAAAACAGTGTCTCGAATCAATGCTTGATTGGTAGACATGTAGGACAGTATCTCATATGGTGGCGATATCCTTTCAATATTTATGTGAATTCTTGGATACGGAAGACCATTGCACTCAACCTTGAACAACCCACATTCCGGTTGTGAAAAATCTGCCAGAGGAAACTCCAAATTGCCAAGATTTCCACACTGGAAACTTTTTGGGCATTTAGAATACACCAAGTTGAGGATAAAAACATGAAGAAACAAAGAGAAATAAAAAAAAAAATTGGCAGCATCCCTAAAGAGCTCTCTTGAAGAAACCATGATTAACAAATGAAGGAGAGGAACAAGAGAGGTAAAATTCTCTAGCTGTCTCAATTATATTTGAAAATTATTTGCATCATCAAAGTGGAACACGGCATTTTACTTTGGGATTTTTTTAGTCAAGACTAATAGAAGGTACTGAACAGTCAGCCTATTGACGGAAGTTTTACGCCCACCCACGTGAAGCATGGTTCCAGTTTCAAATATTCCTAACCTGCGAATCAGATACAACTTCAAGGCCCCACTCTTTTTGTAATTACTATAAATTGAAATCAAGTCAATCTCATCTCATTGACTTTCTTTTATTTTTTATTGGGATATTTTCAAGAATATCCAATTTTATGGGGTGTCAATTAAAAAATGTCATTTTCTTATAATTCTTACAAAAATGACCAAATTTATACCAAATTGTCTATTTTACCCTTAATGAAATGATTACTCTATTTGTATTTTTTTCCCCCAATTTGACACATATTTCAAGAAGAGCAAGTGACTTCCATAAGAAGCCACCATACTTGTAGCTATTATCAATATGAGTTCATTTGCTTATATTTTTAAGTAGATATTAACCAATTATTGTAGGAAAATTGAATAAACAAATAAGTATATGATTCCAACTTTAAACGCTTCATTTGATTTCAAGTCAACAAATTTAATCTCCTCCAAATTTGAAGTTGATTCAACTATCATTATTTCTTGGTAGAATGTACTTTTTTTTTGAAATCATATTTTTATTGATAAGTTTAGGATTTAATAATTGTTATATATTTGATTTCATTGAATTTGATTATCCAAACAAGTAGTAGATATTTGTTGTAACACCATTCTTCAATCACTAAGGTGAATGTCATTAATGGTGGAATTAATTCTTTTCAAAAATGGTGGTTGAAGTTGAAGAAGATGATAAACGCATATGTTGAAGTGAATCCCGTCATATCATTCTCGACACTTTATAAACGTCGAGTATGATAGTTTAAATGTAATTCTAGAATTTTCAAATGTCGAAAATACCATTAAACACTAAATAAACTTAGGGAACATTTTGGGTACAACGTTTCACGTATTGCATGCGACTAGCATCTTCGTTTTCGGTATTCGTTATTAGCTGATAATTTTTTTTGTTTATGGCATGCAGATATGGGAGATGTTATGAGATTTATTCTCTTGTAAGGTGGTACATTCGTCAACATGGACGACAAGTGGAAGTAGTTAGGGGACCGAAAACATCAATTATTATTCGACGTAATATTAGCTATGAAGAGCTTGTACACATTATTTGAGAAATTAAATATTGACAGAATGAAGTTTCGATTTCTATTGAAATTTAAAGTTCCGAACAGGAATATACCCCATGCTGCTGTAGCCGACGATATGAAGAGCTTGTACACACACTATTCAAGAAATTGAATATTGATAGAATGACATTGCGAATTCAATTGAAATTTAAAGTTCCGAACAGGAATATACCCCATGCTGATGTAGCCGACGATGAGGATTTGCAATGGTACATTTATGTTCACACACAAGCAGCATTGTGTGTAATTACAGATCAATATGATGCTGGAGAGCATGAAGTGTGTGTCGGAGTAGACCGTTTCTCACCCATAGAAGATGCATTGCCGTGGACGTGACGAAGTAGGTGTGAGCGAAGTACAAGTGTCACAAATGATTCATAATACGGATGTTTGTTTGGGCGAAAGGAATTCGTATATTGAAAATGAAATTCAGTTGATGGATGAAGAGGACATTGAGGAGAATCAAATCTTCTTTAGCAAGAAACAGCTACACACAAGGCTTCGACTAAAGGCTTTGACAGAGAAGTTTCATTTCAAGGTGAAAAAGTCAAATCCTAGATCTCTTACTGTGTGTTGCGTCGATACCACATGCCATTAGCTAGTGCGAGCTTTTAAGATAAAAACTTCAGACATATTTAAGATTCGAAAGTACATACCTGAGCACACATGTTCTTTAAACGTTCGGCGGAATGCACAAATTCATGCAACGAGTGTACTAATAGGGCATCACATAATGCAATGATTGAATGATGCAAACCAACCATACGTTCCTGCCGGTATTATCGGCGATATGGAACGTGAGTTCGGTGTACAGATTAGATACAATAAAGCATGGCGGGGTAAGGAGAAGGGCCATCAAATTCTTCGTGGTTCACCTGAAGAAAGTTTTTAAAAATTGTCGTCATACTGTCACATGTTAACTGATAGAAACCCAGGAACCGTCGCACACATTGATCTCGATACCAACAACAGGTTCTTGTACTTCTTCTTAGCATTTGGGCCGAGTATACGTTGTTTTCGAGAGTACATGAGGTCGATGATTTGTGTCGATGGGAGTCATTTGAAGGGCAAGTATAAGGAAACATTACTAGTAGCTGCAACACAAGATGCCAACATGCAAATATATCCTATTGCTTGGGGGGTTGTCGATGGGGAAACAAATGCATCCTGATATTGGTTCTTCACGAAGTTGAAAGATATCATTGAGGACTCAAATCAGCTAGTGTTTGTGTCGGACAGGAAGAAGAGCATTAAGCGGGCCATTACGAGGCTATTCCTGCTTTCTCACCACGGTGCTTGCATATGGCATATCGAGAAAAATCTTCTTACTAGGTATAGTAGTAGTAATGTCATTTTTTTTTCCAAGCGTGCAGTGCTAGCATACCATCTTTCGAAATTCGAGCAGTTCATGACCCAGATTAGAACTATTTGATGTGGGGGGGGGTCTGGACACAGTAGACAAATATGTAGGAACCCGACACCTTTGAGTAACATGTGCACTTGAATGACATTGTCTTTTTGACCGTGAAATGATTTGCTAACATGGATTGTCAGTGTTTTGAAATGTATTTTTTTGATGCATTACATGCTTTCTATCTTTTTTGTTTCTAATTTTCATGTTCTTAGCGTATTAATTGATTGGGTTTCCTTTTACTACTCATGACTATAATTTTCTTCAACATTGTATACACAATTTGGTACTACGTACGAAGGAAGCCATGAATGACTTGTTTTCATAAGTCACTTGACATACAAAATGGTATTCACAACAAAAACAGGCCATAACTGTCTGTAGGTTCTAGGTTACTACATATACAAATGGTGATCACCACAAAACATACCCATTACCTATATGGATTTTTATGTCACTAGATATGGATTTTTACGTCACTAGATATACTTCAACATTCACATACGATGATTGCATTTTTTACAAATCTTCCACAACGGACAAAGAGGACATCTCACTGTCATCCTCGTCGTCTGAGCTTATGATGATCACATCTTCGTTTCTTGCAGGAACCGCTGCGACATTGTCATCAAACAATACGTGGTGTGCTTCCAGTGGGACTTCTACTGGGACGATCTCACGCTCGACGATACGATCACCCACTCCAACTTCGACCGGCTCAATTTCTTTTAGATCCGGAAACGGAATGGGATAAAGGCTTACCTACAACGAAGGTTCCCCGGTTGAGGAACTTATTGAACAAAAACATTGACATCATTATCTTCCGAGTCGATGACGATCGGGTTGACATGCTAGTAATTTCATTTTCAAGCCAAGACCAATGTTTTATAGTAGATGTGTACATCTTGTGCAATGCATGAAATATTAATCACACCAACTCCTACCAATTTTCATTTATATTTGATTGACACTTCTTTCACATCATTGGGTGTAGACCTTGTACTTGTGACAGGAGGATTTTCTTGGGTGGATGAAGACATAATCAATGGAAGGAAGAACTATTTAATACTTGTCATTTCATATTCAAGCCAATGCCAATGTGTTATAGTGGATGAGTGTGTGTAGTTCAATGCATCAACTATTAATCACACAAACTCCCCCACCAATTTCTATTTACATTTAATTGACACATCTTTCACATCATTGGGTGTAGACCTTGTACTTGTGATATGAGGAGTTTCTTGGGTTGTTGAAGACACGATGGATGGAACAAGTTGTTAATGCTAGTAATTTCATATTAAATCTCATTGAATTGTTGTATGGTTGAACTGTACGTATTTTCCAATTCATTTTTCTCGACATTTCATGCATTTCTCGACACTTGAAAAGTTGCTATCGACATTTGTATTTGGATCATCTCGACACTTGACATTACATTTGTCTACAACGACATTTCGTCCGAAACAGGAGATTTCTCTACATTTCATATGGTTTCTTGACATTTGATCTATCATTCTCAACATTAGATATCTGTCGATCTCAACACTTGATATTTCAACTGTCAGGAGCGACAATTCATAAATGTACACAATGTGAGACCAGAATAGCATGCATGCAACTGAATGACAAAATGCCCAATTTTCTCCATTTCAATTATACATCAACACTAAGAACTATACCATCCACCAAAATATCTGCCTAATGATGGTAAACAAAACGACAACTGTCAATGATTTTTCAAAAAACAATATCATGCTACGCTAACATTGTAAAGTAGCTACTCATTCCTCTTACTCTTTCAACGACCAGATTGTGTAAACGGAGTTCGCGTGTTAGCACTAGGCATCTTCACCCTGATGGATCGAGGTCTGAATGGAGGTGGAACATTGACGTTAGGTGGATCCACGGTTGGGGCAACCACATCCGAGGATCTCCCGAACGAGCCATCGACGACACAAGCATCCATGTCGCTTGCCTCGACATGCTGTTCGTCATACGCAGTGTTCGAAAACGATAAATCATCGTAATCATCACATACAGGCATAGCTTCTTCGCCCACATTCCCACAACCAAATCCACCATACTCATCACTCACCTTCTCTCCCCCAATTTCTGTCACAACATCCTCGAACCTACGTTTCATCATATTTATCTGATCTGTAACATGGTCCTTCATAGAATACACATGATCTCCCATATCCTTCTCGATACCATTGAACCTCACGTTCATTTCATTTTTCAGTTCCCCCAACTTTAGCTCAAGCATATCCCTCTGTTCAACGAACAGAGCTCCA